TTTTGGCCACTGTAGATGAAACATGGCCATTTGAAGCTTTTAAAAATCATTTCCTGTTTTATTTAAAGCTTGTAGCAGAAATACATATATTTTACCTTGCAGCAGTTTTACAGTGACTTGGTAAACAGCTCTGATGTAGATAGATCTGCCACTGTCGTTCATTTGAAACCTTGTATTCACAGCCACTGACGTATCTAGAACTTCCAGAAGGCCCAGAGTAACATTTGGAAATTGGTCAAAACATTATTTCTACTGTCAGTTCCTAATTACGTTGATAGTTAATCTAATGTCTTCAGTTCAGCTCTTAAACAATGGGAGAGATTGCTTGTCTGTATCTACTAGGATACCATGGCAAGGAAAAATGTACAAACTTTGAGTTGGCTTGATAAAGTCATTGCTTTGGAAGCCAAGGTTGCTAAAATCTTCCTAGACTGCTGCTTTGTTATCCAAGGGGGTTGCTTTGGTGTTGCTAGGCTGTTGCTATGGTATCCCAGGGCATTCCTAAGGTGTTGCTAGGTTGTTGCAATGTTATCCAATTTAGTTGCTAAGGTGTTGCTAGGCCATTGCTGTGGTATCCTGGGAGTTTAGAGGTCATTGATATGGTTTCCAAGGTTGTTGCTAACGTGTTGCTTGGCTGATGCTATGATATCCAAGGTGATTGCTAAGGTGTTGCTAGGCCATTGTTATGTTATCCCTGGTGGCTGCTAAGTTGTTGCTTGCCTAATGCTATGTTATCCAAGGTGGTTGCTAAGATGTTGTTTGGCTGTTGCTATGTTATCCAAGGTAGTTGGAGCTAGGTCATTGCTATGGTATCCCAGATGGTTGCTACATTATTGCTAGGCCATTGTTATGGTATCCCAAGGAGTTGGTGGTTGCTAAGGTGTAGCTAGGCCATTGCCCTTGTATCCAAGTTGGTTACTAATATCTTGCTAGGCCATTGTTATGGTATCCCCGGTGGCTGCTAAGGTGTTGCTTGCCTGATGCTATGTTATCCAATAGTAGTTGCTATAGTGTAGATGGTCCATTGCTGTGGTATCCCAGATGGTTGCTAAAATCTTGCTAGGTCACTGGCCTGGTGTTCCAGCCAGTTGTTAAGCTTGAAAACTGTGACCCATGAAAATGATACGAAACAAAAAAAGCATAGAATGTTAATAATAAGCAGAAGATAAAGAACAGCAAGCTGACTTTGTCAACAAGCATGATGGTTCTATTAAACCAAAAATTAGCTTAAAATTGCATACATGTATTTTGTAGACATCAAGTTCCTTAAGTACTCAAAGGTTCTGTGGATCTTGGTATTTAAGTTTTTTATAGGTTATCTTATCTTGTGGAAAAGTAGAAGTGATCTGATATTATGTCTGTAAATAACATATAATAGCAGAATACAGAAGAAAAACACATTTTATATGTGCATAAATAAATGTGTGCTTTTATTCTTATTTGTTTTATTTCACTCTACGATTATGACTAGTTTAGAAGGATTCAACACACAGACCAGTTATTGTTATTGCCAGTTATAACAGATTTGAAAGATACAATCTACAAACTCAAATTTACAGGAATTTATCAACATGCAATAATAGTTTTTACTTTGTAAACTATTTAAAGCAACATTATGCAACAATTTTACCTTAAAATAACAGCGTCAAAATCATTTTGATGGTACACTGTCTTACAATAGTGAGAATGGCGTCTCTGTCATTGCCCTCTGGGCCCAAAATGCCTGCTATAGCGCTATGTAACTTTGGAGGTCTGCGTAGAACTGCGTAGAACTGCATAGCGCTTTACGCCATCATGTCACACACCAACTACTATGGCTCTTTGGCTGGCTAGCTAAGAAGAAACTAGCTCAGTATTCCCAGCATGGACATCATGACAGAGGCTGAGAGAGAGAGAGTGACCGAGCAATATACCAGACAAGAGCAAACATCGGATTGGCTTGTATTCCTTGGCATGAGCTAAAAGAGATAAAACGACGCATAATAGTCTCACAGCTTATGGAAAAACAATGAAAATCCAACAGCAGTGTTCATCCCTGTCAATGTTATTTATGAAAGATTGCGAGGTAGGCTGTAACCTCTGTGTCATCGCTGTCTCACAGAATTTTGGATTTTTTTTGAATGCCAAAAGTCATTTAACCTCAATCGCGTTTCATACTATCATGCAACTAAATCAATTCTTACACCAAAAGGTTTAGCTAGTCTTTGTCAACGTCATGCCAAATAAGCCTTGAAAGCTTGCGACATCCTGTAATAAAATCCTGTAATATTATCTGTAATGTAAGTCGACATAGTTATTTCTCTTCTGATGTCTTTGCCGGTGTTGTGCTGAATTCTGACTCCTCTGCAGAATTTTGCGTGAACTACAGATCACACACATTACACATAGAAACAACCCAAATCATTGTAACCTGTAGCATCTATATGCCTGTGTGATGCAAGTACACGCGAAGGGGAGTCAGACTCTGAATCCTTCAGCTCCTCAACGAATACACGTGTACATGGGGGGGTCTCACATGGGATTTGTATTTACAACAATGGTGTAAAAGTGAAATACACTCCGCAACTGTCGGGGAAGCCTCAGAGCAAAAAATATCAATTCTGGCATAATGCTGCTTTAAATATTATCACACAAATGTTTATGAACTTTCACAATGTTTTTAACATTATCTCATACACTGCATCACACAATATCTTCTTTAGTATAACCGGTTAGTTTACAATATTTAGTGAGTTAAGTATAAATGAACATAGGAAAGTTACAGAAGATAAAGGTAGCTTAAGTCCAGCTTGCTTTCTCATTCTCCTTTCTTTCGCCTTGACATCATGCTGCTACTTTTGTTCCAGAATGTCCAACTTAAAAAAAAACACAGAAGACAAAAAATAATAATTCTAATAATTCCCTGTTAGAGTCTGTTATTATTGTGAGGATGATGAAATATTTTACATTTGTTAAAATTAATTAAAAATACTTATAAGCTATTTATGTGTTATGCAATTGTATGTAAAATTACATTAATGTAATTAAGAAAAGTTAATATAAGGTTATGGGTTGATATTTAGTATAGAATAGTACAGTGTGCACTACATTTTGACAGCAGCGAACTTAATTTACTGTGTCTCTACAGATTATGGTGTGATTCATCTGAAGGGTCTTTCATAAGTGGGATTTAAATTTTCTGCATTAGCATGTGGGCAGACCTTTTTTTAAAAGCTAAAGTAATGTGCAAAAGTCAGAGACCACCCTTCTTGTACATATTCTCCAGTAAAAACAGCCATTAACTACAAGGTTTTTTTTGCCTTTTTCAGGAAAGTAAAAAACAGGACTTTCCAAAACTGATATGGACCACTCTAACAAATTAGATCAAACTGGGATTCTACATTTAAAAAATGATTTAAAAAACAATGAAGTATTCAAACCTTTGATATTTACAAGGATTATTTTATGATTTGTGACCCCAAGGCATTAATTGAGATAATAATAAGCTAAATATATATAAAAACAGTCATTTTTTGTTCATTTAAAGGAAAGAATTTGTTTTAGCATAAGCTTATGCTAAATAAATAATACATTTATTAAGTTAATTAATAAAAAAAAAATTCAAAGAATGCTGTCCTAAGATTTCATGTCACTACCGAAACACTGAGTTTTAGTCCATAGATGGAGCCCTAATTTAGTCACACCCTGCATTTTAGAACAGGAAGTGAGACTGCATCTCTATCCCTCATGGCCACATGGTGAGCAGTTACATCCCATTGTTTTAAAGAAAACGTGTCCCAAAGTCTGAAAATCAGTGTGAAACATTAAGAATAAGAACTGTCACTACTGAAACACATACTTTTTTGTGTTTTGATGAAAATATTATGATTTTATGTGTTTACAACTGTTCAAAGCTGTGTTTGCTGGTCATGCACTGGCTAGCATTAAATTAGCTTAAAATTAGCTAAAATTGTCACTACTGAAATGGTCACTACTGGAACTTTAACAGAGTAGAGGATGCTCATTTTCAAAGGCAAACACAAATAAGAATGTCAGCTTGAACCGAAGAAAAAAGTTGAGGCATTGTTGTCTGCAGTGATCTGCAAACTGTCTACTTTAAAGGTGAGATGCCAGCTGTGGCAGTATGCTTTAGCTTAGGATGGTTGATGATTTGGATTTTGAAGTTTGCTGGTGTTGTTTTCTTTGTCTTTGTTATGTAGATCTCTCAGCTGTCCGATTTTAATTGTCATTTTCATTGGGGTGAATGCTGTGTCAAGAGTGGACACATGCTTTATTGCAAAGTATTCAAAGCTGTGTTTGCTAGTCATATAATGGTCAGCATTTTGAGTTCTGCTCAAAATGAGCTAAACTCCTGAAACAGTCACTACTGAAACATTTGGTAAAGTTTCAGTAATGATTGTCCTGGTAGGGACAAAATGGAACATTCAATCATTTATTTAAATTAAATAAACATAATTAAGATATAGGGTCACTCAAAGCAAAAGGATTTTAGTCTAAAGTTCAAGTCAGTTAAGAGTCTAAAATGTGATTTTAACTTTGAACCAGTTCAGTAGAATGATGATAACTTGCTGTGATATTATTCTTGACCACCAAATAAGGTTGCCAAGTAAAGGCCCACCAGACATTCGTGCCCAGGGGCCTATAGTTTGATGATCCTGCGTCTGAAATCAAATCAAGAAGCTCTTGATGTTCTCAGAATGTCAGACTGCCCACAGAATGGACTGAGATGCAGAAAATGCAACCAACTTCTAAGACTGAACTTTGGAGGTGTGGAAAAACATCCCTGCAGATTTCTTTGAAAAGCTGAAAGTGAGTCTCCTGAAAACAACGCAAGCTGTAATAAAGGCAAAGAGTGGACACAATAAATACTGAACAGTTTGATGGTTTATTTATTCGTTGTGTAATTTTATGTTGTTAAGACTGAATAAATAATGAAGTCTCTGACTTTTGCACAGCACTGCTTGTCTTATGCCAAAGGTGATCATAAGAGCATCGGTCACCTGTGTTGGACTCTGGATCCAGGCGGGTGTTGTGGACATTACAGGGTCGGCAGTGCTGCACCTCCTCCCTCAGGTCTGGGATGCTCCCCGGCAGCTCCTCCCGTACACACACCGCTGGCTGTGCTCGGACCGTTCTGGAGGAACCGGCAGGACCGCCATCATCATCATCACACCTGGACAGGTTGGTGCTCTCCCAGGCTCCTGCAGAGACCCAGCACAACACATTAAACACTCTGAATAATGTACAAATATCTATCAATGTGTTTTCTACCCCTGGTTCCTATCAGTTCCGTTACAAAGACATCTGAATCACTAAAGTGTTCTTAAGAAAAAACTTGCAAAGGATCTTAAGACAAACATTAAGAAGCTCATAAGATTGGGCCTCATTCACCAACCGTTCTTAGATAGAAATTTAACCTTAAAACCCACTTACGCAGTTTTCACGAAGATTCTGACACTCACCAATATTTTCTTATTTCAGTGGTGGTGTGTTAGTGTGTGTTGTGCTGGTACGAGTGGATCAGACACAGCAGTGCTCCAGCATGAAAAGGCCCTTAAATCGACCACCAAGGCTGAATGCACCATGAATAATGTCTGTTGTAAAAATTGCTTTAAAAGCTGAGAAAGGTGAGCAAACAGGTCCACTGGGTCAGTAGGTCTTGCTTCTAAAGATAAAATCTCTCATGCTACGATGCCTCTGATTGGCTTGCTGCTCTGGTGGTTGGAAGATGCAGCCAAGCAGATGAAATACTCACCACTCCCTCTTTACTAATGCATTCTGTTAAACAGGATCAGCAGAGAACAGGCGGGACAAGGACAGACTCACACACATAATCACAGACAGAGAGCCAGACGCACCCTGATAAGCTCAGTCATGCCCAGCAAGGTGATGAAACAGCCTTTAGAAACAATGGCTCTAATTCTTAGCCAATAACAGCAGTTCTGAATCAGTTCTGCCCTCCTGATACACGCAAGGGGTGTTTTTGTGTGGGTACATACGTTGCTTGGCAGCCGGGGCGACTGTGTGATTTCGCAACTTCCTCCCCATGAAGTTTAGAGACAGGGTGACGTTTTCTGCTCCCGAGTTTACATACATGGTATAGTTGTCTGTCTGCCTGTCTGCCCTGAGGACAGAAACACAGCAAACCACAAGCATTATGGTCTGGTCTGTAGTGAAACACCAACTTTCCTGCATGTGTGGGTCGCAGAGGTGCAGAGATGCCTCCGTCTTGGGCGGGCATAAGTTTTGGCACCCCTGGGAAATGAAATCTTTTGTTGCTTTTTAAAGTGGGGACAAAAGTAAACATGATCTCTGAAGCAAACTGTTTAAAAAGACATAAATAAATAAATGCAATTCGGTACAAATTTTAATGCATGGTTACTATATATTTGACTAACATTTGAAAAAAAGGGAAAACAGTTATGGTGGCACGTGCCAAAGTTCGGACACCCTACCTGAAGGAAAAGTCTCCGAATTTTTATGTGACTCTTTCGCAACCTCACTTCATTGCTTGGATTGATTGTTTTTGTCGCTGTGGCTTTAAGACTGATATATGCAAATGAGCTGTGTTCTGTTTTGCTGTATTGGGCAATCATTCAAAAAGCAGTCAGAACGGAAACCCTCACGCTTTTGTGACGTAACAAAAAAGAACCCATTTTTCATATATCATGATGCGAAGACTACTCAGTCTAATCTTAGCAATTTATCTCCGCCCATTCAGGCTGAAGTTATAAGAAGTGTTTCAGCCTGGTTGGCTATTTGAATGAGGCTCAACACAGCTCACTTTCATGGATGTGCGACACCATATACCAACATTGGTACAACGACTTAATAGTGTGCACTTATTTTTTGGCCATAAAAACTTTTTCGTACATAAAAAAGCCTGCAACTAGCTGCACCAGCCGAACATAAGTTCGATCGTAGCCTAGTTTGAACGTAAACTGCCACTATGTTCAAGTTTACAAACTACTAGAATTTAACCGGTTGCACCCTGTACCATAGCATGTAACATAGCTTTAAGCTATAACTTAAAAATGACGCATACCCTATAGTCGATGTAAGTTCTGCTCTTTTTCTCAATTAGAGACAGAAAAGATCACAGACCTCCTAGCCGCAGATTTGCAACACAACACAGACAGGAACTGAGCCCTGAGTCCTACTTTGTGTCTGGCCCTGAGACATTTTGCTACAGGGTCGTTCCAAAACCTGGGCGACTCTGTTCAAGTACATGAGTGAACTGTGTGCAGAGCAATTAGAGCAGCTACATCAGTGCTCAGGTTGTGTGTGACGCTGACCTTGTCATACAAAAATACATAGCACAGATTATTTTTAAAATATACCTAACACAACTAACATTACCATTCTGTCATTCGGCAGATTCAAATTGCGATTACATTAGCCACAGCTTCACTAATGTTGCCGAACTTTCTTTGATAAACTGCTGTTAAAATATTGTGAACATCGGACATCAGAAAAATTCCAGCAGTGGAACAGAATAAACACACTTACTAAGAGACAGACGCTTTGGGGACACTGTGTCTTTCTGAACTATAGCTAATTTGACCGACACACAGCAAAGAAAATGTAACACGAAAGCAGAGAAATTTCACTGCGTCATTCGGTGCGAACAGTGTTTTAAGATGTACCGTAAGTGTCTGTTGTACAACTGAAATTTTGTGTCGCTAGTTTTAAACTAACTACTTTCAACATGAGGTTTAAGACGGACTTTACACTCCGACTTATGGTCAAACTTACATTCAGTTGGTGCAACTGGCTGCAGATGACTATATTAGTTATTGTAGTTATTGTCTATGTTCCACTAATGTGTAACTAGTGCATTGAGTGAATTTTTAAAAAACACTCTAAATTGACCCAAGAAATCAAATGTGTACCAAATTAAAGATAAAATCTAAAAAAATTGAGGCTTATTTTTGTGAAGAAAATGAAAGAGAGAGACAGAGAGAAAGAGAAACATGATGCAGTCAGATGTTTTGCAAAACAATTCCATGCCATAAATTCCAACCACGAACAATGAGAGAACACACTGAAAGCGTAGGCGTCAATACACACCTGTTACATCTTGTTGTGGAACTGAACAACAATTTCGCCTAAGAAGTTAAATGTATTCTTTTATGATTGTGTTTATATGATTTACTAATGTGTCTTACATTAAATAAGATACATTTCTAAATATTTTTTAAATTTACATTACTGTGCGGAATGTTTTTAAAATTTAGTTTACAGTCAAAACAGCCAATAAGTACAAAATACTAATTTTTCAGGGAAAATTACATTTTCAAACAGGAAATTAGATTTTTTTTCAGTTTGTACCCACTTTGTCTTTATTACAGCTTCCATTCTTTTCAGGAGACTTGCTTTCAGTTTTTCAAAGAAACCTGCAGACACACCTGCCAAGTTCAGTCTTAGAAGTTGGTTGCATTCTCTGCTTCTCACAATCCAAGTAATCCCATTTTCTCTCTATCTTCCAGTTTTATTCTGAAAAATGAATAACTGACTTTTTGAGAGGAAAATAAATAAATGAAGGGTGGTTTCTTACTTTTGCAAAGAAATGTAAAAAGTTTACGTTTTGTTGATATTTACTGTTATTTCGATTTTTAAGTTCTAATTAAATTTTTAGGTGCTGTCAGAACAAAACATTATATCTCCAAAATGGTAACTTTACAGGAGAAGGAAAAAACCTGCTTTACTTTTAATGTTTTTTCCAAGTCATTTTGGCCATTTCTGTTGCTTTATTCATCATGAAATTTACACACAATTTACACACAAGTCATTTTCAAATTATGTGAAAAGAGCTTTGCACCTAAAAATTTCAGTCTTCTTGCTCTTACACTGTTAAGTGATACTATCTATCTATCCATCCATCCATCCATCCATCCATCTATCTATCCCAAATCAATACAGCCTGACCCCAATAATAGTGGTGAGAAACACCTGGGTTTCAAATATAAAACAATAAAATAAAAAGCTGATTTACCTGTCTGCGATGCTGGCACCTGTGTCTGGCAGAAGCTGGGAGAGGAACTGGAAAGCTGCTTGTTTTCGTGAGGAACTGAGTTCTCATCCCTTGTGAAATATTAAAGTCAATGGATGAGGTTTCAATGGGTGTTAGTTTGCCTGGCTGACCAGCACAGGCGACTGAATATCATCAGGTTTCCAATGTGTGTGATTGAGATTGTAACTCGATGCATATGTGTGGGTCTGTCTGTCCTGTCATGCATGCATTGAGGTCATCCATCACTTTTGTGAATGAGTGGCTTCATGTTAATGCAGCTCTTCATAACAAGCATCTAACGGTATACCAGCGACAAGGAGCAGCTATAAGAAGTGTTTCTAATAAAGTGGCCAGTTAGTGGAAGTAGAAAGTGGGTATTTCTAAAAAAGTGGCTAGTGAGAGGAAATCCAAGGTGGGTGTTTCTAATAAAGCGGCCAGTCAATGGAAATACAAGATGGGTGTTTCTAATAAAGTGGTCAGTGAGTAGAAGTACAAGGTAGGCGTTTCTAATAAAGTGGCCAGTGAGTGGATGTACAAGGTTGGTGTTTCTAATAAAGTGGCCAGTTGGTGTAAGTACAAGGTGGGTGTTTCTAATAAAGTGGCCAGTTGGTGTAAGTACAAGGTGGGTGTTTCTAATAAAGTGGTCAGTGAGTGGAAGTACAAGGTAGGTGTTTCTAATGAAGTGGCCAGTGAGTGGATGTACAAGGTGGGTGTTTCTAATAAAGTGGCCAGTTGGTGTAAGTACAAGGTGGGTGTTGTGTTAAATGTGTTAGCTAAATTTGCCTCGTAATGCCAGTCAAAAACTAAAAGACAGTTAAAGGTCAGTGTAGTTTGTACCATTTTAATCAAGATCTTTGCTTAGTAATTTGCCTGATTGTCTATGTAGAAAAGCTATAATGTCTGTTCTGTGGTAAAAGGCTACTTTGAGAAATTAACCTGATCAGTGTCAAGTCAAGAACATTGTATGTGCCAAATGCAGCCTCGCCTGTTTGTGCATTGTTGTATCTTAAAAAAATAGACAACCCGGAGTACACCACGGTTATGGATGTTCTTTTGATATGATCTCTCTCTTTATTTGTATCTACAGATGCACAGGACTTGCAGGTCTTGCCCTGACTGAGGAATCTGACGGAGATTTGTTTTCAGGCATTAGTTCTACAAACATAACGTCTTGTGCTGCCTTTGTACTGATTCACATGACAGTTTGACACATGGCATATTAACATTGGCACTTTACTTAGAAGGGGCTGATGGTTTGAATCAGTGTTATTCCCAGAGCTTGCATTAAGTGCCAACAAAACTTATATAAAACATAATGATGGTAAGTTCGTTCTCAGTTTCAGTTACATGTTGTTACATGATCTTCCAGAATCTTGACATTCAGGGGGTCCAAGAGGTTACTTAGGAGGTCCTGAACCCCCCAGGACCCCCTGTATTTTGCACCTGGGATGTCCTGAAGCGTGGGCAGACTACATCCTGTTATCCCTTTCCACTGTCCTGATTATATGATGACTACATCACTTTTATGGCTAACCTAATGCTTTTATATTAAATTGATACATGTAGTACCAATGTAGAAACAGATACAGTAAAGTATTCCAAAGGTTTAGTAATACAACTTTTATTCAGTAATATTTGTCAGTCTATAAGGACATACCTGAACAATATACATATAAAAATATACCTTTGTTTCACTTGTAAATCAACCATTGTGGTAATTGTTCACTTTGAACGAATACACTGTATATAAGCTCGAAAAAACGCTTATTAGCAAATTCCTACAAAGACCTGAACATTGTGGCACTCATGGAATAGCTCAGGGATGGTCAGTTCCAGTCCTAGAGGACCACAGCACTGCAGCACTGTTTGTTTTTGCTTCTACATTTAATTGAGCCCTTTAGCAGGTGTCAAAAAAGAGAGAAGCATTCACAAACAGGTCTTCAGCATTGCTGCAAAGTAAATGAGTAGGTAAGAGGTGGCATTTGTAAGGGTATTTGTAAAAGCTGAAATGTTTTACGGGAAGGGTATGTGCTCAGTCCTGTTAAAAGGAGTGGTCTGACAAGCCTGCAGAACGTTCGAGAAACAGGTACGTTAACCGTGTTGAACATGGCTACACGCCTACTTGCATACTTAACACTGCTACGTTCACCTTAAAAAGTAGACCTAGTGCTGTTTTTGTTTTATATATTTCTGCACAGACACACCTAAGATAACTGACGCCTGTGGAATGCTGACTACCTGGTTCAGACATGTTGCAAGCTAGAATGGAACAACATTTGAGTGGACTCAGCCCTCAAAGACTGGGCTGGGAACCTGAGGCCTAGACTTAATAAACAATGTTGGGAAAACAAGTTCCAGAACAAATTTGTTTTGCTTTAAAGCAAAGTTATGTGAGAATTCTTTTTGCTCTTGGGCTCCCCCTACAGTTGTAGAGTGTATTTCACATTTACACCACTGTCGTAAATACAAATTGCGTGCCACACAGTTATATGGATGCTGCGAATTTTGCTCACGATTTTTATTTTTCTACATGTAAACAACAGAAATTGCAAGTGCGGTGGGGTGCAGTCTTTCACAGATAACAAGGGTAGGGATGTAAAAGTCACACTCAGCTGTCGGATGTTCATTGTTTTCCCATTAGCTGTGAGGTGTTTCTAATAAAGTGTCCAGTGAGTGGAAGAACAAGGTAGGTGTTTCTAATAAAGTGGCCAGTAAGTGGAAGTACAAGGTAGGTGTTTCTAATAAAGTGGCCAGTGAGTGGAAGATTGTTTTCCCATTAGCTGTGAAACTTACATCCTTTTATATCTTTTAGCTCTAGCCAATAAGGAAAAGCCAAAGTCTCTTGCTAGGTCACTCTCTCTTTATCTCCTCCTCGCTTCCTCCAACAACATCTTCGGTCTTTTGGCCACCTCTACTATAATGTCAATGCTGGGAATATCAACCTAGCTTCTGGCTGAAGAGCCATAGCTGTTGATGTGTGATGTGGTGCCGGAAAGTGTTACGCAGTTCTCCTCCAAAGTTACATAGTGCTATAGCAAGCGGCCCAGATTGGCAATGACAGAGACGCCATTCTCGCTATTATAAAGGTCAGTGCACCATCAAAATAATTTTGAATAATTTTTTAATTTTGTTTTAGGGTAAAATAGCAAAATCGCAGTCCAAATCTACCTCACACATTGCCATTCTTTTTTTTTTTCCATTTTTTGCAAATTTGCAAATTTTGTTTTTTGTGATCGAACCGAAATGGATGATCTGATCTTTTTCTGGCCTCGATTCTCAGGTCTTCTGTGTCAGCACCTAAAAAAAGAAAACTGTATTTAAAAAGTTGATTTTAGTTTTCCGGTGTGCCGCAATGCTTTGGAGTTATAAACAGCTGGGCCTTGGGGTGGAAAAGGTTGAGGACACCCTGCAAGGGAAGCACGATACTGTTTTATAAGGTGTGGTGACCTTTCTTGGTCTACCTCCATGATGATGTTGCAAGCTTTGTACTTCCTAAATGACACCCTTCTAGTCCTTCTCAGGTCAGGTGAGTTGCAGGTTAAGCAATAGGTGGACTGGATTACATGTTTTTGTCTTCATACTTTTTTGCCATCCATACTTTCATATACTCTCTGTCTGTTATGTATGTAATCTTCATGGTATTTGAGCATGTGTCCATATCTGCCACCTACCAGTTGAACTGAATTGAACTGAATTGACTTATAAAACATGAAAAGAACAATAAAAACTGCGTTATCATCTTTACAGCACAATGGGATCTGTCAGAGATCTGTCATATGTCGATACTGCTGTCTTTATTGTCCTTTTTTTCTGTATTATAAATTAATAAAGTATATGGAGAGAAAAAAAAAGACATTCTGTGGTGTTGAAGTGCCGAAGTAGAGCTGCTAGGTGTGACAGTAACATTCCCATTGTTTTAGTTCCTGAATTTCATTGGTCTATCACTCGATGGCCACGCCCACAAGCCGAAAAATCTCAGCCAACCCAAAAAAAGGTAACGTTTAATTAAAACTATAATTTTTTTCCCCACCCGTATTCGTAAATAATAACCAATCGGAGCACAGAACGCGCGATTCCAGCAGCCAATCACGGTGCAGGGAGGGCGGGGATTGCCGGACTACGGGCGGGTAAACAGTACCGCTGTGTATATATGAGGAGCTTCCAGCTCTCCTCTCCGAGTCTCCGCCGTCACTCAGAGCAAACCTCGGTAAGTGAAGAGCTGAGCTTTTTCAACCCTGCAGCTTTTTAAAAGCTAATTCTGTTTATTTTCTCAGTTCATTGGGATTTTCTGGAGCATTTCGAACTTCAGCAGCTGCTGTAGTTTGGTAAAGAAGTTGCTGTTCAGGCAGTGCAAGAGAACTTCATCCTTACTTATCAACAAAACACCAAAACTGCGTTTAATTAACCGTTTGAGAACGCAAAAATGCTAAGTAGCCATACCGAAATCTGACATAAGGGCATATATATTGTGTGCACATATGTAAGTATCAAATACTGAATATATATGCATAATATATGGATATATGTCTGAAATTTGGTTGAATACATACTAGTACATGATTAATTCCCTGCTGCACAGCACAGCCCATCCGTCTGTTGTTGATTTAGCTCGTCACCCCAGCATGGTCATGCTGGTTGACTAGCATGCCAACATTCAAAACACAACATCTGCTTGTTTTGCTGGCCTGTGCTGCTTTATCTAGCAGGGTTATTACCATATGAGCTGTTTGCTTTCAAATATTTTTAAAATGTATCAGGAAACAATATTTTCATTAGTTTAATGTTTCAGTGCTTTAACTGCATAGCTTATAATGTGAGATTAATTATACAAGTAGTATACAAATATCCACTTCTTTAGGAGATATGTGGAAGAAACAAAGAAGATGCATAAAAAACCTTATGTTATATAACACAAAGCTGACATTTATGAGTAATAAATGCCATTAATATATGAATATTTTCTATCATATGTTGTTAAATATGTGTTGCATGAATGTTTATATATGTTGAGATAT